CCTCATTTGCTATGTTTGCCATCCATCTTCTTCAGGCACCACCCTGAAATCCATTCTGGTTTCTGTGTTTCTTCTGAACAAATGGTTTCTAGAGTTTCTGAGGAGGTGCATCAGGGTTCAGGAATCACATGTAACTCTACATTTTCCATAAAACCACTTTATCCTGAGAGAAACGATGCCATGTCTCTTGACACTGTGCTCTTCATTTTGCACGTAGATATTTTCTTCTTTCTCTACTCAAGCACCCCCACAGGCAGTGTGCAAGAGAAGCCAAGAGACAATCGAATATTTTATCAAGAAGAGCAAGTTCTCTCAAGCAGAAATCACAGCACAAAATGTAGGCATCATCAGCAACCTAGTAAAATAAAATGAAGAAAGCTGATATTTTAAGAGAAGCTCCCTAAACAGACATTTCTTCATGCAGACCCCAGATGAAGTTTGTCTATTAGCAACTCTCTTTGAGAACCTGTTTTAAGCCCATCAGTGTGCCATGAGTTGAGGAGAAAAGTGTTACCTGGAAAAGTAGGCAGCAGCATTTTTGCTCCAAAGCATTTAACAATCTCATTCATAAACTGACAACAATGGCATGAGTCTCAAATCTAATATTTTCAAAGCCACTTGGTCAAGTTCTGAGTACAATACACATGGTGATAAATAGTCATGAATACCTGCTGAAATGAAATTATTTTAATTTTGGGGGAAATTTACTAATCCTAAAAAAAACACAATGGGTTGACACTTTATACATCACATGGTTCAAAATACTGTCACAGTAAGATGATGGACTTGAAGCCAAAAAGACTTACCTTTGTTAGTTTATTAGTTCTGTGAACTTGGCAATCAACTTGGATGCTTTTTAGTTTAAGTTTTCTAATCTTTATGAGAATGAAATGATTTCTTTTTTTTTTTTTTTTGACAGGCAGAGTGGACAGTGAGAGAGACAGACAGAGAGAAAGGTCTTCCTTTGCCGTTGGTTCACCCTCCAATGGCCGCCGCGGCCAGCGCGCTGCGGCCGGCGCACTGCGCTGGTCCGATGGCAGGAGCCAGGAGCCAGGTGCTTTTCCTGGTCTCCCATGGGGTGCAGGGCCCAAGCACTTGGGCCATCCTCCACTGCACTCCTTGGCCACAGCAGAGGGCTGGCCTGGAAGAGGGGCAACCGGGACAGAATCCGGAGCCCCGACCGGGACTCGAACCCGGTGTGCCGGCGCTGCTAGGCGGAGGATTAGCCTAGTGAGCCGCGGCGCCGGCCGAGAATGAAATGATTTCATCTTCAGATAGATATTATGTGGATGATTTTATAAATATACACAAAATGCAGGTGATGATAATACACCCCCTTCTACCTGAGTCTGAGAACAGAACAGAAGGTTGCTGCACTCAGCTTATATTTGCATTGTGGTGATAAGAATGACAGGGAAATAGGACTGTCTTTATTTTTGCTTCCTGAGAAAAAAAGGAAGCACATTCTTAAATGTCACTTTCAAAACACCAAGTGTTGTGTGTTTTCAGTGTTATATTGGGAAAGAAGATTGACTAAATATGAGTCCCTAATATCTGAATAGATCCTACTATGCTTGTAAAAGTCAGAATTCAAGGCTGGTGTTATGCATAATGACAAAGCCTGCAACACTGACATACCATATGGGTGCTAGTTCAAGTCCCAGCTGTTCCACTTAATCCTTCTCCTTGCTAAACACCTGGGAAATCAGTGGAAGACTGAGAGCTTGGGTCCTTGCATGCATACGGGAGACCCTTTGGAAGCTTCTGGCTCCTGGCTTCTGTCTGGCCCAGCACCGGCCATTGTGGCCATTTGTGGAGTGAACCAATGAATGGAAGATTTCTCTCTCTCACTCTCCCTATCTATCTATCTATCTATCTAAATCTGCCTTTCAAATAATTTTAAAACATTAAATTAATATTAAACAAAAATAAAAGAGCTCATTAGAAATCACACAGTCCATCAAGAAACTTACATTTCACATTTAAAAAAAAAAGATTTTTTTGGTTATTTGAATAGCAATTACAGAGTGGAGGGGAGAGAGAAAGAGAGAGATATATCTTCCATTCTTTTGGTTCATTGCCCAAGTGGCTGCAATGGCTGGGGCTGGGCCAGGCCAAGCCAGGAGCCAGGAGCTTTATCCAGGTCTCCTATGTGGGTATAAGGGCCCAAAATCTTGGACCATCTTCTATTGCTTTTCCCTGGCCCACTGGGGAGCTAGATCACAAGTAGAGCAGCTGGGACTGGATTCAGCACCATGTGGATGTCTCTGTTTCAGGCGGCAGTTTAACCCACTATGCCACAACACTGGCCCAACATTTCACACCTTCATTCATTTTTATTTTGCTCAGTCCTGTTAATATATCCTCTGTAAATCTGATTAGAAAATTGTTGATTATACTTCCTGAAAACACAAGTTATAGTACTGCTTTTCCTATCACAACTGCAGAATGACTTCAGACCCAAACTCCAGAAAGTTACCCTCATATTTCAACTCAAAGCCACCCAAAAATATTGGAAAGTGCTAGCTGATTGCACCTTTGAAATCAACTTGTGCTCCAATTTAGTTCTCAGTTCCTTCTCTTCATGCTTTACCAATCGTTTGGCCCTTAATGGGTCTCTTTGGCTGTTTATCACTCTATCCCCATCAATTTTCATTGCTCTCTACAGCTTCTTTATCACTTTTTGTTGTCAAGAACATAACTACTTTTGGATCAGATGTTTGCCATAAATTCCTGAAATAGACATCTAGCCCATAAAGAACAGAAATGAATAGGCTAGTTTTAAATGTCACCGGTAGATAGTTCATCTCAGTAGGCGTGATTGTTAATACTTTCACATCTCTAGTTTAAAATTGAAATTTTTCCAGTGCCCCAGGCATAATTATTTTCCTCCAAATGACTTAGAAACTGGTATTACAGCAACCACCTACACATTAAATTTGACCAAAACACTGACATAAAGCAGAATCACAAAAATCTATTTACGTACGCTTCTTAGTGTTGGCAGCCTTGATTTCTTAGGAAATATAATTTTATTCAGATGGAATAAAATTTGATAGCATTGGCAATTACCCACTTCTTAGATTAATGTCCATATGTGGAAAAAAAAGTAGAATTCTGTGATTCCAAATGTTGAAAAAAAAATGGCAATGACACTGAAACTTTATATACCATATTTCAGCTGACAGCACAATTTAGGGTTGAGTTACACACCCTTAAAATGAAAGCTTCCAATAGAAATGCTGACAGGCCCTTTACTTATAGGGAAGTATTTGCCTCTAGAATAATAGCAATATATTATATTTAAGTGGATCCTTTTATAAAGCACTTTAAAAACTGTCAGCCTGTATCTCTCCTTCTTATACACATATCTCATATGAAATTCAATAGAGAAGCTATATATCTATTATTTATTTAGTTAGTTATTACATATTTATTACATTTATGAGATTCACCCATCATTTATTAGCCTCTGGGCACCTTTGCAAGTTTCAGAACTAAAAATAAAAATAAGAAAAGTCTATGTCATTATGATTTGCAAGTTATTCTAGATATTTTGAAAATAAGACACAGTATGTCCAGCTTTATTATCTTAGAAGTTCAACACATAATGAAGAATACACATGCATACATCCATGGGAAAAAAGAAAATTTAACCCTGATGTAATTTAGAATTATTCCATGGGTCAGAAGAAAGACAAATGCAATAATATGAGATCTAAGGCATCTGTTAGCTTCCTTTATATATTTCAGTGTTGTGATGCATTATTACATATTAGAGGTTAGTATAGATGAGATATTATGGAGAAGTTCACATAAATAATTTATACAATTTTATCAAACAAATTTACATTATCTTATTATTTTGCACTTTTAGCATGGTGCACAGGTATAAAATGCCAATCTTCACAAATTGAATATTGAGTTAAACTCCTGGGAGCGCCGATAGCCAGGAAGAGCCCCGCCGTTGCAAGACCTTTTATAACCCAGTTAGATTCAGAGTGTTTCATCTAAGAATATTATTTTCTTCATATTCAAAACTGAAAGAAATAGAATTCATGGATAGATTACACAGCTTAAAATGATAAGTAAAGAAATACCTCCCCAAATCCTGCTTTTACGCCCGGTTCACTGCAGCTCCATGTCCAATTGAGTAGATTCCAGATCTGAGTTCCCACTCTGCTGTCCTCTTGATTCTTTCATTGAGAAAATACTAGGTTCAGACCATTGGGAGATTAGAATGACAGGATTTTAGCAATTTGACATATGTTAGATTTTATTTTATTGTTTTTCAATTTAAACATTTATTGAAATAGTTTGAGTGAATACTTTTTGCTGCCAGCTTACATTGACTAAACTATATTCATGAAAACAAGTTCATCACTAATGAACAAATTTCTAAATGATGTTGAAGGTCAGGTATGAACTACCACAATGTCATAAAAGATGTCTTTAAAATAAGAAAATAGGTAATTTAAATAACTCAAAAATATATATATATATACACACATACATACAAACATACTTTTGTTCCTGAGATTAACTACATTGGCATTTGAATTAGGATTGCTAGGATACTAACAAATTTATGACTGTTGGAAGCAGCATTTGTAGGAAGAAATACAACAAATGATCTAAGCAAAAATTGCCCATAAAAAAAGGAATAAGGCTAATACTTCCAGTCACTGAGTGGGCAGTACTTCCTCTTGGAGAGGTAGGCCAAGAGGAGGTCCAGTGTGGGTCTGTGTCACAGGCTGTCAAGTCTTTACTATATCCCATGGAGTTGATCTAATGGATATTTTATTGTACCCACCTTTTATTTCAAGTGTACATACACACACATACACACACACATACCTTCATAGTCTTACAAATAATTCTGAGAAGAAGGAAAAGAGGCTTAGCTCAAAGTTACTACAAATGCATATCATGTAGCTCAGTGGAAATCCACACACCCTGCAGTCCACAGAAGGCAAATGATGCTTCAGGCTTTGCCACTGTCAGCTCTGGGGATCTGCCATTGGAATGGAGACTTTAACATGCTTTTCCAAATCCAATCAACTTTGGTAATGTTTTTCAGCATTATCTTCATCTGGGTCCATCTTTTGGGTCACTACATAATTGCTTCCAAAGCCTGTAGCAGCATTCAGGTATTTTGACAGAGGACTGAGAGATTCAAGCTTTTGATGGAAAAGCCAAACCAGTTCTTCTGTTCCATTGTACAGCACCAAAATGAAAACATTTGCAAAAAAGTGAAGCAACCATATGATTGGTAGCAGCAGTGTCCATATGAAGGGAGATAGAATTCCGTATGTCATATTGGTCAACACTGTACCTGGGCACACAGATCCTGGTGGTTGTAATGCCTGTTCAAAGCCATGCTGAGAAGGTCAGTCTCATATTTGGAAGAGCTATAGGGTCCCTGGCCTTTGCTGTGCGGCATGTCCTCCAGGCTGGAATTAGGTGTCCTTGCTTTGTGAGATGATGTCCAGATGAGCCGGGATGTATTTTCACTGCGACAGAGAAGATGTTCAAGTTCCAGAATCACGATAAAGTGGCCAAAGATACTGGTTTCCAACACCTCCTGCAGCCTATCAGCAGTGATCACTTCACCCTAAGTCAGCAATCCTTTACCTGTGGAGAACAGATGAATCACTTTTCTTGAAAAAAGATCTGAGACAAGTGCTTTGGATTAGGCATGAGCCCAGCATTAAGATATACATAGCCTGTCGCTCCCCGTCTTCGTGGAGGAACGACACAGGACCCTGCGCTGTTCTTTTGTCTGCTCGGCCCTCCCCAGGTTTGCTGCTGGTTCTTCCCGGGTTGGCTATCAACCCTTCCATCTCCGTGGAAGGGCAGTTCCCCCTGCCAGTTTCCCCACTTCCGCGGGGGAGCGGCACACCGCCGGCCAGCTCTCTCGGGGGCTGCACAGGTGTTCCTTCAGATAGATGTTCCTGGTGCATGCCGTCTCTCTCCTCCTTTATAGTCCTCTTCCACCAATCCCAACTCTGCTACCCACACGACGAGTACGCTGCTCTCCTCCAATCAGGAGCAGGTCCTGCTGTTTATTGGTTGAACTGGAGGCAGCTGTGTAGAAGCTGTTTCCTCCTCTCCCAGTGCCATATTGTGGGAGAGCAGATGCATAGAATAAGTCTTAATTCCAGTAACTTAATCTAGTCTGAGTTGCTCCCCACAGATCCCCCTTTCGTTTTATTTTTGGCGTTGATACGCGCCTGTCTTTGGTGCCCCACGGCACACACTCTGCTCTGCTTGCTAGAGTTGCCCACAGGTGCTTACAAGCCCTACCAATCAGGCAAACCGAATCCGGGTCCTTTCTTCGCCATGTTGTGAGGAGGTTTTTAGGCGCTGATGCGTGCCTGTGTTCGGTGCCCTGCAGCGCATGCTCTGCTCTGCTAGAACTGCCTGCAGGTGCTTACAAGCCCTAGCAATCAGGCAAACCGAATCCAAGCCTTCTCCTTGCCGTATTATGGGGAGACTTATTGATGTTAATTCGTGCCTGTCTTCGGTGACCTGCAGCAGGTAAGCTGCTAGCCGCCAGCAGGTGCTTATCGTCTTACTAATCAGGCAGACCGAATCCAAGCCCTCTCATTGCTGTGTTGTGGGGAGGCCTTATTTTTCTCTATTTCTCTACCTCCGGGCATTCCTATCTCTCCTATTTTACTTCTATCTGCCAGCATTCCTATTTCTCTCATTTTACTTTTAAACTTCTGTTTCTCTTATCCCCGCGGCATCCCGGCGCCCGCCCCGAGGTTGCTTCTCGGCACCTCACCCCATGGCGGCTTCCCGGCTCTGAGCCGCTTTCCAGCTTCGCCACACTCCGTGGTCTCCGCGCCCCTTGGAGCCCGCACCACGGCCCCGCACTTCCTATCTATTCGTCCCCCGCGCGCTCCCTCTGTGCGCGGCAGCTTCCGCGAGTCACACAGCCTAGGTCACGTTTCCGCCACCGGTATTCAGTCTAAGTTCCCCGGGCTAACCTGGCGAATTCAACCTAGCCTACGTTTCCACCTTATGGTTTGGCTTCCCGTCTTTTGCTCCTCGGGCTAATCTGACGGATTCCAACCTGGCCCGCGTCTCCGCCTCTGGTTCCAGATTTTCGCCCCTTGTTCCCCGGGCTGACTCGACGAATCCCAATCTAGCTTACATCTCCGCTTCGGCCTGCCCCCGCGGCTGCATCCTCCCTAACATTTTTCTCTACCCGGTATGTTTCCTAACTTTTCTTCCCACAATATTCCCCTCTCATTTCTCCTGGCTTCTCCCCACAGTCCGTATCCAAGTCTAAGTTTCTTCTAGGTTTCACTTTCACTTTCAACCCTAACATCCAATCCTAACTTCTTTCCCACAGTCCGTATCCGAGTCTATGCCTAGGCTTTCGATAGCTTCTTCCGCCACCTTTTCCGTCTGGCTTTTCCCTAGGCTCTTTGCTAGTCTCTCTTTCCGGTATTTTCCCACTTCTTTCTGCCTCTTCCCTCCTAAGTTTCCTATCCGAGTCACGGCACCATTATGTCGCTCCCCCTCTTCGTGGAGGAACGACACAGGACCCTGCACTGTTCTTTTGTCTGCTCGGCCCTCCCAGGGTTTGCTGCTGGTTCTTCCCGGGTTGGCTATCGACCCTTCCACCTCTGTGGAAGGGCGGTTCCCCCTTCCACTTTCCCCACTTCCGCGGGGGAGCGGCACACCGCCGGCCAGCTCTCTCGGGGGCTGCACAGGTGTTCCTTCAGATAGATGTTCCTGGTGCATGCCGTCTCTCTCCTCCTTTATAGTCCTCTTCCACCAATCCCAACTCTGCTATCCACACGACGAGTACGCTGCTCTCCTCCAATCAGGAGCAGGTCCTGCTGTTTATTGGTTGAACTGGAGGCAGCTGTGTAGAATCTGTTTCCTCCTCTCCCAGCGCCATATTGTGGGAGAGCAGATGCATAGAATAAGTCTTAATTCCAGTAACTTAGTCTAGTCCGAGTTGCTCCCCACAATAGCCCAATCTCTGAAAAATTTGCTTAAGTTCCTTAGCAGCCTGGAACACTGACTGTAGGCTGCTGACATCCACAGGCAAAATGGTGACGTGGGTGGTGTGGTGAGAGGCCAGCAAAGCAATGCAGACAATTTCAGCTTTGCCCATATTCCTGTACTCCAAACAGGTGAAGTTCATTGTCTACCATCAGCAGCCACTTGCAAAGGGCTAGACCAATGCCACTGTTTGCCCACAACCACCTTCCTCATCTGCACACACCCAAAACACTGAGCAGCAAAGCAGGTCTCAGCAAAAGCTTTCAGAAGTGCTGCTACTCTATCCTTCCTCAACTGCATCTGTGAGCGTCCCTACCAACCAGGGCTAGGTCAGGCTCCACCCCTATGTCACATGTTATATGCTATATAGTATAGATTGGTTTCCATGTCCTGGAATTTCACATCAACATAGTGTAACTTTGAGTTAGTTACGAACCTGATGATTCAACATTCCCACTGTCTTTAGCAGAGAAGTAGCTTTCTTCCAATGGTAATTGAAATTGTTTTGATATAGTGGGATGAAAAATGTTCTACTAAATACAAACTACACACACTGCATACAGATTTACTCTACTTATCCCTCTTCTGGTGGAGCTCATTCACACCATGACCTCGATATGCCACCTTTGCTTTTCCATTGATATCCTGGAACTCTGTTGTCAATATCTCTAATTGCCTACTGCTTAAATCAACCAGTACAAATTAAACTAAGCTTGACAAAACTCCCTTTACTCCTGACTACTCACCAATCAAAATCTAAATGTAGCTCCACAGGGGCAGAGAGCCAAAGCATTAATTTACTATACCTTGGAAAGTACATATCAATCCCCTGGTTCAATTTCTTCAGCTCAGTACAAAGGAACTTTTATAAGTATAAGCTTATGAAATACATATGCAACCAAACCTTGCCCAGGACATTTGCAGGAAATTATTATACATTTGATTTTCAGGTGGTGTAAAGACAGATAAGTGGGGTAGTTAGGCAAAATAAAATGAAATAACCTTTAGGAAACTGAAGGTTCATTTTTTGTCCCAGAGTGTTCAACACACAATTATGTTTCTAAGTATGGAAAAAAAGTAAAGAGATATTTCATTTTAATATTTAAAGATATATGCATACATATAAGATATTTTTATGACATTCTAGTGATGTTTTAGAATGATATATTAAGAGCTATACAATTATTTGTATTTGTCTCTGAAAGTCTAGCACCTTCAGAATAATTTTATAAATAGCAACATTAAACACTTTTAGAGCTCTGAAAATATACCAAAGACAAAAAGGTAGATATACAGCTGACTATCCAATCCCCCACCATCCCTACTTAGATTTAAATTAATTTCTGACTAACGCAGAAGAACTTAGCTCATGATCAGTGCAAGGAAAAAGTTGATAGAACAGAGGAGACAGGATACAAACTCACAGCCAAAATGAATTTATTCAGGAAAAATAAATTCACTGCAGAGTACACACAGACCAAACATGGGCTGGGCCTTTTCATATCTTAGGGTGAGGTGACAAATGGAAGTGAGTTTCTCCACACAGGTTTTTCAAGTTTGGTGCCATTTCCAAACTTGGAGAAGAATGTGGGGGATGAGGTAGGGAACAACAAGAGGTGTGAGACTGAATTGGTCTCTTGAAAGGATGCAGGGATGGGGCTGGTGCCATAGCGCAGTAGATTAATCCTCCACCTGCGGTGCCAGCATCCCATACGGGTGCCTGTTCTAGTCCCAGCTGCTCCTCTTCCAATCCAGCTCTCTGCTATGGCTTGGGAAAGCAGTGGAGGATGGCCCAAGTGCTTGGGCCCCTACACCCACGTGGGAGACTGGGAAGAAGCACCTGGCTCCTGGCTTCAGTTTGGTGCAGCTCTGGCAGTTGTGGTCATCTGGGGAGTGAACCAACGGAAGGAAGACCTCTCTCTCTGTCTCTCCCTTTCACTGTCCGTAACTCTACCTCTCAAATAAATAAATAAAATCTTAAAAAAAAAAAAAGAAAGAAATGATGCAGGGATAAGAAGTAAATTCAGATTTCAAAGGATGCAGAGGTAAGGGGTAAATTCCAAATTTATCTATTTTCTGGTAAGGAGCTAGAATGGCTGAGGCTTATGTCCTTGTTCTGCTATCAGGAATGACCCCTTAAATTCTACACGAAAATGTAGCCCCTTAGAGTTCCCCAGAAGTGCCACCTGGGGTGCCACATATGCTACTGGAATTTGGGGTGCCATACGATATTACCACATGCTTATTAATAAATCCCCAATATTAATAAGCCCAGGAGGGTTCTTGCCTAATATTTAGAGTAGAATTCTAAATCCCGGCACAGATAAACGAGGCAGCATGTTACACTTTAGGCTTTTATTCAGTGAGAAAGATGTATAGGAGAGTGAGAGCTTTATTTAAGAGAGAGAGAGGTAAATCTGGGTTCATATCGAGCACTTGGAACCAGCCACGTGGAGGAGCATCAAAGCTAGGAAGCCTAGGTCAGGTGGCTGAAGGCCATGCACCCTGGAGGTGCGGGGCTACAGCAAGCCCCCTCCTGGCAAGAGGCCAGAGAAGAAGAGAAGGGCCGGACACACTGTGTTCCAGGCTTTTAACCCACTTTCCAAAGGGGAGTGTTTATTTAACCTGATTGGCTGGTGGGCACCCAGGTGTGGCCAGGTAGGGGCATGAGGTCACACAGGGGTGTGGCGAAGGCGTGGTCTTCCAGCTCACAAACCTAATCAATTTTAACCTGTATGCCTGTCTACTTTCAGTTCCATTAGTCAGAGCTCTTCAATTCTCACACAGGAACTTCTTAACATGCAGTGTACCTTCAGCCCTCCTAACAGAATCTGATTTTTGATCAAGTGTGGTAATGTTAGAGGAAAGGTTCATTCTTGTTACCAGAGTCCCTCTTTTAGACAAAGGATACCAGAGTAGAAGATGCTACATTAAAACAATAAGACTTAAAGTTTTAGGATGAGTCCATGCAATTGCAGGTGTTCATTTAAAAAATAGAAGCACAACAATTATTGGGGGATTGTTTAGGCATTTGCATTTTATTTGTGAGAGAAAATTGATAACTAAAACCAAAAAACAAGGTAAAGGGGAGGACTATCAGGGATGGTAAAGGATGGCCAGGTTGTTGGGAGATTTTATCCCTTCTGGGACTTTGTTTTGCACAACAGGTGGCCAAGGGGAATTGCATCCCATTATCTCACAAGTGCAGGAAGCTTTGCATTTCAGCCCCCTAGGGTGTTCTAGGCAGGCCTCCTGCTATTCCCCTGTTATTTTTGCAGGCATTACTGCCAAAGATGCTATTATTCTGGTTTACAAGAGTTGATCACTGCAGCGAATTTAAGACTGTAGATAAAATGGAGACTTTCTGCTTTTTTTTTTTAAAGGGATAAGTGGAAACAACAGTTCTCACACCTACTTATTCTTGGACAATGCTCTCCTTTGGAGCATCATTAAGTCTTCCTAAATTTCCATTTATATTATTGTTGATTGCTGATTACTTAGTTTCTGGTGTTTAAACTGAGAACTTGTTTCCCTTTCTTCCTTAATGGAATGCTAACAATTCCAGAGGAATTTAGGTCTCTATTGCTTGCCTTTCTGAATCTGGATTCCAAACAAAATGCTTACTCATGAATATTCATTGACTACCCAAGTTTGATAGTTTAGAGCAGAACTGTTCTGTGAAGAACAGCAACTGCTTAATCTCCTGTGAGTAGAGATGTTTCTCCTTTCCTTTCTATGTATGTGATGCCACATTTCTCAATATGTCAACGTATCAATGAATCCTATCACTGCCAGATCCCATACACCAATCAGCACCAGCTGCGCAAGCTCACTGCTTCAGTTTACCATACTCTGTTTCACTAGTCATGCTTCTTGACCTATCTGTTTTCCAGGCAAGACTCTGAGATCAACCTAGGGAGAACACACATCAATCTTGTTGATGTTCTGTTGCCTTTGCCTACTGGAGCACCTGACACAGGTGGTGGCATGCAATTAATTTTCCTGTACAAATGAATAATGAAATTATTTTATTAATATAGTTGCATTTGTTATGTGTGTTTGTAGCAGAGCAACAAGCGTTTATAAAAAAAAATGTTTCCCAAAATGTACAACCTAGCAAAGGTTCATGGAGTAGACTGAACTCAGCATTAACATGCAAAGTTAAGATTCTATTCCCTTCATTTGATGGGAATACAATTGCAAAGCTAACAGAAAGAATTTGAGGAATATTTTATTAGTCATGATGTTCAGTTAAAACAAGCCTCTGCTGAAACCAAAGCAAATAAATTAAAGGCATAGCTAATAAGGTCAGGAAATTGCTAGTACCAAATATACCTGGGAATATACCTTAAGTCTCCAAATTACTCTTAACAAGCTTAAGTAATTGCTTTATAAATGAACGGTCACCTATGACTAGTTATTACACGGTAAGTGTTTCCCTTTCCTCTCTGGGAGTACAAGCTGTGAATTTTCCTTGCCTTCCCTTACTCTCACCCATAGAACTTAAATTTGCACTATACCTCATACAATGTCAAAGGGTTCAAGGATAAAAGCCTAATCTGTCTCACACAGAAAAGAGTACTGAATACTATTACTCAGCAAGGTCAACAGATTGCCTGTTGTGGTTGCCTTTGTGGCACCGAAGTTTCAGCCATTGCTTAGGATGTCCACATTCTAAATGTGAGTTACTGGTTCAAGGCCTGCTACTCTGTTTCAGATCCAACTTCCTGCTAATGTGTATGCAAGATAGCATGTGATGACTAAGTACTCAAATCTTACTACCCGTGTGGGAGACCTGGGTGAATATCTGGACCCTGGTTTCAGCCTGGCCCAGCCCTATTTGTGGTAGACATTTGGGGAGCAAACCAGTGGTTAGAATATCTCTATCTCACTCTTTCTCCTTGTGTCTCTATGTCTTTTAAATAAATGAATAAATCTTTTTAGAAAGTAGATTCCATATTATTTTAAAATGTTATTTAAATTATCTCCATAAGGGACACAATTTTCAACTAACTCTGTTCTCAATGGAGTCATTATTTTTAAAAAGGATTTATTTTGTTTATCTCTCTATAACTCTTTTAGAGAGACAGGAAGAGATAAAGAGAGGTATTCCATCTGCTGCTTCACACCCCAAATTGCCATAATGAACAGGGATGGGTCTAGCCTACACCAGGAACCAGGAGCTTCTTCTGGGTCTCCCACATGGGT